AGCTGGCCCAACAGCTGTGGTTAAAACAACGCCCCCGCATGTGGCTCCTTTTGTGTATGTATGCATTTCTGTTTTCAAAATTCTGCTCTGTCTGTATTCCCTGAGAACTTCACAGTACCCCATGTGGGATGTGAGGATCAAATGTGTTTCAGTAATAAGCATGCATTTGCCTAGTCCCTGTGGTTCCTAAGCGTGTTGCTGGTGTGCTCTCAGAGCGTCCTCCAGCCATCCATGGGACACGGTGGCGTCTTTCATAGTGTGCAGAGCGACCTGGCGGAGGCACTGTCTGCACTGCACATGCGGGATTGAGGCTCCTGCTTCTCGTAGGCTGAGATGTGTCTCCCCTCTGGTTGTCACATTCCCCTTGCCTGACCCTAGAGAAGGTGCTGCATTCTGGCCCATCAGCAGAAAGGGGAAAGGAGATAGGCAGTGGGGGTGGGGCAGTGAGGAGGAGAGGGTTAGGAGTTGGAGGTTCTCCTCCCAGCTCAGCTGCTGTTTTGCTGTGGGACATCAGGTGGATCTCTCCCCCATTCTGAGCCTCAGTTTTCTCATCAGTAAAATGAGGGTCTGCATTTTTGCTTTGCAACTCTAAAAGCAGCAGAGTCCTTTTTTTTTTTTAATGTACTTATTGGCACCTCAACATATAAAACAGATAAAAGCAGAGCTCTTCTGGTTGATGTGGGGAGGAACCTGGAGGTCCCTGAATTGTCCTTTTACCCTGCCTCCTCCTCCCCCTTGTCCCTCGTGGCACAACAATGCCCTTAAAGATCTCTGAGTCCCTCCAGTTTTCAAGTTTAAGGACTCTACTGCCACAGCAAGAGCTGTTCCAGCCTCAGTCTCCACAATGCTTTGGCCACTTGAATCCAGCCTAGCAAGCATGTAGTTTCTGACAATTGGCCTCAGGTCCCAGAGAGCTCCATAGCCCTGGCATTTTAGCTGGTCTCTGTTGGATCACGACAGAAGCCAGGCCCTTTCTGGAAAGGGGCTCAAAGCCCACACACTCTCTGCACTTCCCCCAGGAAATATGTCCTTGGGTGTGTGTTACGTCCTTGGGGAAGTGAGAATGCTGCGGAACCCCTCCCCCCATAGCCTGGATATACTCCCTGAGATGAGGGCAGTAAGGTGCTGAGGACCCTAGAAGTAACTTGTTTCTCTCAACTTCCCAGGAGAAGGCCATCAGCATTTGGGAGTCAAAGAATTTCTTTTTTGAACTTGAGCCTCTGCCAGGGGCCGTGGAAGCTGTGAAGCAGATGGCCAATCTACAAAAGTAAGTTTGCCTTCCTGGCCCCGCCTGGCCGGCCCACTCAGCCCTGTACCTCCTTCCTGCTTCTTCCCTTCTCTGCCTTCTCCTTTCTCGTTCCTTGGCCCTGCACAAGGCTGCACTTGCCCCATCGTTGCTGAATTTGGGGAAAACCACTGAGTAAAATGGACTCCAGGCAAGGCGTGGTGGCTCACGCCTATAATCCCAGCACTTTGGGAGGCCGAGGCAGGCAGATCACAAGGTCAGG